GGTTCGGGTTCGGGTTCTGGTTGTTGTTGTCATACATGATCAACACGCCCCTCCGCGGCCGGGTTTGGGGGGGGGCAGCCTCCCCAACTTGCAGCCACAATGTCTCTATGAGGGGTTCTGAAAGGATCCAAAGGCGCGCTGTTCTTGCTGGCAGGATGTCGTTTTGAAGCGAACTTGCACGGCGGCTTAAACAAGCTGGGCTGGGGGCTGACAAAGAGCGCACAACACTGACAAGGAGCTTGTTATGTGTGAAGGATTGTCGATGGTGTCTTGATGCATGCTTGGGGAGGTACTTTGCATTCCGCGCACACACAAGCAAACACAAACAAACAAACAAGCACGCACGCACGCACGCACGCGCACACGCCCCTCATTTGGCGATTCCGGTTCATCATACCTCTTAAACACGCCTGACTTCATGTGGGGATTCGGGCTCATCATAATATATCTTAAACACGCCCCCTTATGTTGCGTAAACCCCTTCCCCTATTGGTCGATTCAGGTTCATCATATATCCTAAAGACATCACCTCGTGTGGCGACCGAGGTTCATAAACACGCCCCTCATCATATGGTTTAAGCACGCCCCCTCATTTGGCGATTCTGGTTCATCATAGATTGTCATAGATCTCATACGCTAGGCTCTGTTTAGGCTCTGTTAGATTGAAGACCCTGAGCCGGGTCACCTTGGGCGCCCGCAGGCCGCCCAAACGGGGTTCCCTCACTTGTGCCAACGCGGGCCGGGAGTAGCGGGAACAGCATCCTAAGAAAAAACCGAGCGCCGGGCATTGTTTTTTTCACACACTGGCCACAAGTACCGTCATTGTGCGACCAATCCACTTGATGCAAGCAAGCACGTGATCCGGAGTTGCTTCCAAGATGGTCGGCCACGGCAGCAAACCCGCCCCCAACTTTTCACGGGCCGCAGCCTGTGGCCCGCCGCGGACCAGAGACCAGAGGACCAGGGGACCAGAGAACCAGGGGCCTAGGCCTAGGCCAACGCTACCAAGGGCCCCACAAAAGGCAACGTGAGGAAAAAAAACCAGGGCCCGGCTTAAGGCTGAAACAAAAAACTGACTACGCCCCTCTTTACCCCTCCGCAGGCGCTGGCGGTTTGGGGTTTGGGGCCTGGGGTTTAGGATTTACGGTTTAGGGTGGTCGTCTTGAATGTGGAGAGACCTAGGCTGAGGCTACATTTTGGGTTTTCGGGCTTCAAGGTTTGACTTAGGAAATATGTTAAAGTTCTAGAGTCGCAGATTTAGGTCTGGGAGATGTTTGCTGACTCACTTCGTTGTTCTATCCTGTACAACACCTTGACTCGTCGGCCTCCCAAGTACGAGCCGTATCCCTGGGTTTAGGCTGTAGGGTTTAGGGTTTAGGCTGTATCAGTCTACTACACCTGGGCTAGCTATGTTTCAACATTGAGGATTTGAGCCGTACGTTGTTAAGGCTCATTAAGGCTCATTTGGTCCGTAAAGTGCAGGCAATGGCTGTGGTGGCCGCGAGATCATGAAGACAACTAAGCCGGTCACAGCAACTATCCTGCATACAGATTCTGTAATACAAAAAACCTGTGCTGCCGTTGAGGGCACCTGGACAAGCATGGCGGTAGTAGCGATGTCGGCATGTCGGCTGTGGCAGGCGTCCCTGATGACTTGGATGAAGGTGCATAAGACATGAACAGACCCTGAACTGTGCCTCCGTCTTATAGTTCTTGCCTATTTCCCCAGGCAACCACAATTAGCGACTCCAAAACAAGGCACTACAACGCAGGGTCTAGCCCTAGAACACACAGTGAGCCGAACACGTCAAAGCCTCAATGGGCTCCCTCGGTAATTGCACCTTCCACTATGCCACCTCCTTTAAGCAATGCTGGAACCCATGCTGAACCGTACAGCCCAAAACACTATTAATACTAAGCCTGGAAACCCCAATCGCATGCTCAACCCCCAACCCTGTGACATTGTACCAACCCCAGAACAGTACACCGTATACTTGCGTTTCTCTCGTATATCTGTAGAGAACATACTGGGGCCCTACCAGAAGACACCGTGCAGCTGAACCCCAACACGCGCCCCAAGGTTTATAAAGTACCCATTGCAATAGCCAATAATAAGTATTCCCGCCCGTAAAGTACCCAACAATACATAAACAGGCCCTTATGAGCCAAACCTGCTTGGCCTCGAGAACTTTGCACGACTTCGTGGCAGCTTCTAGGCAGCTCGCCTTGGCAACACGTAACAAAGTCCAAGGTAACTTCGGGTGTAGGGCTCAGGATTTTTCATTTGGGGAGTATGGGGCGTTTAGGGCTTAGAGCTGTTAGAGTTTTAGGGCTTGCGGCTTTGAGGGTTTAGGGCTCTCTGCCCACTGTCAAGCGAAATTGAAGGCTGGCTAGTGAGCGGCTAGTGAGCTGCAATGACTGCACTGAGAACGGTTTCTTGCGAACGGTGCTGGAACCAAACCAATCCATGCACCTTTATAGTACTTTGTTGAATGTTGAGGTACCTCTATAGGCACGCATTCAAGGCCAAAGCATAAACCATCGGTACAGGGGCCTGAGGGCAAGCCCAGCAGACTCCGAAGGATGACAACTGCCATCAGTACTGTCTGTTATACGTTTCTGTACTATGCTAGACTAGACTAGACTCGACTAGACTAGGCTAGACGTACTGTACTAGACCAGACTAGACTATGTTACACTAAACCATTCTATACTATACTGTACCATACTATACGTGTCTCTATTGTGTCTTTCTAATTGTGCAGATGTCGCGCGGGGGTCTGTGGCTTTGGGGTTGTCCAGCACCCTGTGGGAACTAAAGGTTAACCTCTGGGTTTGTATAGGGTTTACAGTATACACCCAAAAATAAGGCTAAAGGTTTCTCTGCTACTAGGCTTGGGTTTACGTCGCCGCATGGAACTCGGAAACACTTCTGACCCGAACAGACAAACAAGTGAAACAAACCACTCAACGAACTTGTAGACAACCCTTATGGACCTTCTATGTGCGTAACCCTGACATCAACCTTCATAGTAACCCTTAAGTAGCCCTTGAAGGAACCCGCAAGATCCACCAAACACCGAAACAAACTCCCAGAGGCCAGCGCCCACGTAGGAGCATCGAGTGGAATTCCGCCTTGATAGGGCTCGGGGGTGCGGACGTATGGTTTTTTAGGCTTTAAATTTGGGTCGTATGTTAGGCTTTAGGTTTAGAGGTGTCGGGATGAGGGGCTAGGTTATAAGGCCTATAGGTTCACAGTAGAATTTTGCCGCAAAGGTTGGTTACCTACTCGACTACTAAGTCTTGTCTGGTTTTTGCCGAGGCTGTGGTGGTGGTTTTGGTTCCAGGATGTCTGCTCGGGGTGTAGTTTCGGGGAATTGTTCGGTCATGGTTTTAGCGTTTCGCTTAGAGGCTTTGGAGAATTTAGGGTTGTACAGTTGTGGGTTTCAGGTTTGAGGGCAACCTGTCTGCGGTAGCCCCATCTCAGAAATCTGTTTTCTGAATCTACCCTACACCCAAAATCCTAATATGGGGGCCTTTATCATGTGAACAGGGTTCGATATGTGCATATATATATATACATTACACTTTCAGCTACAGTACTAGATACATACTTAATAGGCTGTTCCGAACAATCTCCGATGCTCGCGCCTGAGATGCAGGAGACCATTTGCCCACGGCCTTGGCGGAGATTTCAATCAGGTGAGGCGGTTCGACAGAAGTTTCTTTTCAACCGGCCGGCTCATACTGCTTTCAGGGCGCAGCGTACGCTTAGGGCTTAGGTGTGATGGAGCACGTAGTACGGACGGCACGCGGTCTTTCGCAAAGCTTCTTGGGCCAAAGACGTCGCCCTGAATCCTAAACGCAGGGGCTGCGCTATGTCCCAGCTTCGCTACGCCGGCTCTCTATTCCAAGACACCTACAACCTTCAGCCCAAAACCATGGCCTTGAACCCTCTTGGGCCCCTTCACTCACGGCACCCAGTGACAGATTAAGCAGGCCAATGCGTTGAAACGTGACCCGACAATAGTATAAACCACATATCATATACATATGCGTATATATATATATATTATATATGCAACACATATAGGAAGGGCTGGTGCCACACATAGACGAGAGTGTGTAGTCAGCCCCTCCTTCAAAGGCCCTGACTGCCATCAACGGCCACGGTGATCAAGGCATCACTGCCGGTCTCCTCCACCTCGACATATGGAATTCAGGGTGTCTGCCCCAGGCCGTGTAGGGTGTAACTAGCGGGGAGTGTCCTGAGTGAGGTCATGGCCGTGGCACCCAAACATTCGCCCGAAACCAGGAACTAGCCCGATTCTGAACCTGTTTTGGAGCTTCAAGAGTAAAGGACGCAAAATACCGAACCTAGTAGGCAATATCGGGTCCTTAAACATTCCTCCACCTCCCTAAGTTCTCCGAAATTCCCAGTAAATCCGGAAAACCGCGGGGGCCTCTGTAGGGTCCAGTAATAGGATCGGGGTCGTGCCACTGCGCACGGCGACGCTCACGCTCAGGGCGGTTGCACGCATTGCCACGCCTGCTTATCGGCGAAAGAACGCCAAGATGCCCCCGGGCAGTGGGTGCAAGAGAGTTTGGGGTCGTCCTTTCCAGGCGTTTCGACGTTGCGGGGTCTTGTTCATGTGTGAGGCTTGTCGAGAAGCATCCCGACGTCTCGAAGGGTATGCCAGATGCAACTCAAAACAAGCTCGTAATCTCAACTGGATACAGTTTGTGTCTGTTGGATTCCACGATGCTGGGTCTCTTGACACGTCAAGGTCCCAGTGGCACTGTATGCAAGAGTGTTGCAGGTGCCTCCGAAAAAAAAAAGGGTTCATTCCATTCCATTCCGTAGGAGCTTGGACCAATTTGTGAACTGGATCAGGGCTTGGGGTTTCGGTTTTGAATACAAGGTTGTTGTGGGAACAACTCGGTGTTCGATATGCCACATGTGTCCCGTTGCTCATCATACTATGTGGAACACACAGGCCTCACTTTGGCACACCGCTTGCCGCAAATTCGACTGGTCTGAGACCCAAAGAATAAACACCATGCATCTCGAAGCCACCTCGCAGCATGTCAAGGAGGAATGACGTTTCGGAAGCAAACTGCATGCTGCCAGGGTCATACCAGTAAGAATTGAGACCCTCATGTGTCCCGTTTCGGCCCTTTGAGCAAACGCCCTTCAAGTTGCACACTTTGCCGTCCACGTGCGTACCGTTCTTGTCAAACTCTTTCAGCCGTGCCAGATTGTCCTTGATATGTTTGTAGTCGCAGCAATGCCTCAGCAAGGGACGAACTAGAGTGATAGGCAAAGACAATCTTCCCTGCATTTCGGGCCCTGAATAATTTGAAGCAGTAGGGTTAGGGGTTCATGCAAAATTGCAAACACAGAGGAAAAACGGGCACATTCAAGTCGTGGAAACCATCACCTTTTCTGAAGGACAACCCGGCTAAAACCTCCTGTGACGAAATTGAGCTTGCACAAGGCTAACACAAGAAAACTGACGTGGTGGTCCCAGAAACATCCTAGTCCCTGAAAACCCAGCCCTAGTGCGGAAGCACGGAAGGAGGGCATAGACCCCAATATAGTATAACCCGAACAGCCGTAGCATCGGGATTCCCGAAAAATGGACCCACAACTAGGAGGATACCCCCCACATCGCAGAGACCACTTCGAGGGATTTGCGACTTCTTTCGTCTTTGACAAGACCTGTGGAGCTATAAAGACGAATTTTCGGCTACGGCAATACAACGTGTTGACCGACCTCTCTGCAACTGTTTACAGGCGGTCTCCTTCCCTATACTGCTTCACAAGAGGCAGTTCAGGCAAGGCGCCGAGGATCAAACACATCGCGCGGGAACACAATGCCCGGCCAGTGCAACTGACCACGCCATTCTGAACGCAGCACCAAGTCCCAATCTAACGGATAGTATGTGGTCAACGTCTTGCGGAAGTAATCGCTCTCAATCCTGGACATCATCGTCGCTGCCCGTTCGAATCCTGGACGCGAACCGCCAAAGACACGGTCGCTGTTGGCAAAGAAGACCTTGTCCAACTTTGCGCCATGCTTTTTGGTGGCCGCCTGGCAGCTGACTGAAGTGGTGCGTTCTGAGTTTGGCTTCCAAGCCAAACCCCCCTCCCCCGCCTCCCCCCCCGGCCCGTCCCCGCCCACTTTCTCCAATCCCACACACTTCCCACTCAGATCCCGCTTCGTATGCGGTTCCCACAAATCAAAAGACCCAGACACTTCCGACGGAAATCCCACCCAAAACCCCTTTTAGATCACTGAGTTTCACCACAAACCCCTGGTTTTTCCCAACCTGGTTGGACGGGAATTCAGCAGGATTTATATACGGCTTCAGGCACCCATGGTTTTGAAGCACCAATGTGGGTTTTCAATTTTAAAGGACTCTGTTTATTGCCGGCAGACCTGCCTCGTACGCGCCCCGGCACGGGTAGCAGCCCCCCACGCATGTCACAATCGGTCCGCGTTTTGAAATAGAAGTTGTACCTTGCACTGAACTCGGTAGGTATTGGGCTTCTAAGTCTAGGTAACAAACATGCCAGCAAAACAAGATGATCAAGGTCTTCACAGGTACCTGAAGTCAAAGCGCTTCTCGTACTGCTGCACTAGCCGCCAACACTGCTGCAAGCGCCACCACTGTATTG